GTTACCTTATGATTACGCTAGGCTTTTTTTGGAATGAACAATGCTTTAACAATGAAAGAGGACAAAAAGGGTAAAGGAATGAATATCTGGCCTATACAATAACTTGTGATGGCCTTCTACGCATTTATAAGCACTGCGCTATATCCGCAATTCCTCACTGTTACAGCTAATAACCAAGTCTATAGGGCGTCAATCACTTCCTTGTGTATCAGCATCATTCTGGATACTGCACGACAGAACATGGTTCTTGTCCGCTTACTATACTTGCTAGAAGTTTTCTGCGATGATGAACGGGAATATATCTGCAAACAACAACACGGAATATTGATCAGCTGGGACATACGCGTCCATTTAGCTTCATTAATGCAGTAGATTGCAGTCGATCACCCTATTCAAATTGATCTTTCAACGTCAACACAGTCCCCGTAGGCGCTAATCCATCTAAGGAATCGTTATTTACCTAAAAGAAAAAATGACATTCACAACGTAGCAGAAGAATCACTCTACAATGCACACGGTTCAGTGACTGAATGTGGTGGACGAATTGAGGTTTGATGGGTTATGGATGCATCCTCGTAAGTTTACGAATGGTTACACACCTCTTAAAGTTAGTGTTGTTTCGTCTACTTTCTAGAATTTCGAATTTAAGTAAAATTTTCGGGTGTTGAAAATGTTTTTCACAGTAGGTATTTTAGCTTCACGACTTTGATAGGAATAACCTTACTTAGTGCTCCGCGGAGGAAAGAACGTTTAGCCTGAAGAAAACACGAATTGATGAAAAATGAAACAGAAAAAAAAAACTGAAACGAAGAAAAGTGAGTAGTGAAAGAAGTGTTAAGGGCAAGTCTGATTTTGGGAATTATGAACACTCCTCTACTTAGTATTTTTGAGAACCTACTTTTATCCGGAGTCGGTGTGCATAGACGCAACGTTGCTTTAAGCAATGCTTTATTTTGACTAACGTTTCGACTCCTTCGGCATCTCCAATGGAAGAGCAAGAAGTAAACAGAAGGGTTTCTGTTGTAACTTTTTGTCAGCCTATGAATACAATAAGATACTGCTGTGAAAGAGTTGTAGAGCTTCCAAATTACGTTCTCTTCTGTTCTGTATGCATTACTTACTTGATGCTTGAGCGGCCCGTCTCCACCGGTTGTGAGGGCCCAAGAATAATCACCATTTTTCAGAGATTTGCTGGTTAAGCTATTGTGGTTTTCTGGAAACACGAGGTCAGCGTGGCCAAAGTCTGCTCCAGTTTTTCACCACCACATACAGTCAGAGCCCTTGTCGATTAGAGGGAGATTTGCCACCATGCGGCTAGTTCCTTACCAGTACGGTAGTGGATCCTGTCATTGCTTTACTCTTAGCTGGGCTTCCTAATGGAAACGCCGGACGCCTTCTCAGCTTGGGAGATCCTGCCGTGGGACGAATTGCACAGCTGTATATCCCAGTCCGACACGCAGGAACATCTCTCAGCCACGATGAGGCGGTAAACCGCTGGGAGGGTTCTTGATGCATTGTAAAGAAAATTTCGTGCTAAGCAAGCAAGATCTATGTCGTTGCTTAGACCTCTCACGGCAGTCTCATTAGGCCTTCTATCTACCTATAGTCGCAAAATTGAAGGGGATTTGTTAGGGAGGATAGCAGCAGTGACTGGATTCATCGGAAGGCTATCAAAAGTTATTGTGCAGATCTGATATGAATTCGACCACCTCTGCGGTCTCACGAAAGAAGTATATTGTATGGCAAATCCTTCAGGAATTCATAGACGCTGAACGATTTTATGCCTTTAAGCTAAAAATTTACTTCTATTCCATTTCATTTGAGAAGGAAAAAAATATTAAACTGGCAAGTTTGTGGTTAAACGACTATTGAGAGCGTGGAACACAGTCGGTCTTATTTTCAATATTATAATTTCTTCTCAACTTATGAAGACAGCATACTGTAGTAAATATCATTATAAACGAGATATCGATTAAGGCTACGCCAGTATTCGTATAAAACTTTAAAGTAAAGTTGGAAAAGCGAAAATTTTTTTTTGCTCACAAAAACAAAATGTTATCAACGGATAGTCATATCAACAACAACCATACTATATGAAAGAGCACTGCACGTAAGCATGCCTCATTCGTGCGGTGTTCAGTGAGGAAGATCTGTCTCGGTACGACTACAAAGAGACGCCTCATCGAGATGACGAACAACTGTGGACTACAGACCTGGATCATCAGCTCTAATGAGGACGAAGACCTCGAAACGTTAGCCGAAATAAATATCTTTATCAACTTCGTGTAAGCTCAGCAATTTAAAAAATGTTAATATTTTTTGCATTCTACATGACCCGTCTTCACATCTCCTTTGCGGATCTCAGAACTTCTCGCATTCGATTCGTTTTCCTTGCATTTATAGTCCACAATGATCTCCGAACATTTCGCGTGTTGTTTCAACTGCTGGCTGAGGATCTCGTCTTTTTAGTGAATGTCGTAGAATGCTGGCAAAATCGATTCTTCTGACAACATTGGAGATAACCGAGGTAAGGCGCTCTTGCGTCGATTAGGAAGTGCAGTGGAGTGAGTCGAGCCAATACCTTGCTTCTCGATGGACTGCATCACTAACCACCTCGCTAAATCACCCCAAAGCGAATTATTATGTTAGTTAGTTATTCTTAAAGATTAAAACTGCAGTAATTAGTGGTCATTGAAGCTAGGAAACAATTCATTTAACAAGACGTTTTTAAAGGCAAATTAAGGCAAACTAGTGAGCCATTCAGATGTTAGCTCTACCATGCACTGATAATGAGAGCAATAAACCGTTACCTGAAGGATGTGAGAAGTGGTCAGCAGTACAACTAATGACTACATTGCATTCTACCGTATCTCGATTTTCATTTTTATCTTTTATATTGTATGACTCGCCTTCACATCTACTGTACGGATACCACCACTTCTTACATTCGTTTCACTTATTGGCATTCATCATTTACGAAGGTCCTCCAAATTATGCGAGTGGGTACAACTGCTGCTTGCAAGCATTCACGGTCTTTTTGTGAACTCCGACCGAGTCAATTCTCTCTGCAAATTTGATGAGCAATACCAGAGTGTTACAACCTGGGTTTCAGAGATCTGCCCTGCATGAGAGAAATCTGGTAACAGTTTTCCGATTCTGGAAAAATGGCAGATGTTCTAAGCAAAAGGTGGTCGATCCACCACAACTTTCTCAGCGAACTGCATCACTACTATTTCTCTACCCTCCTCCTTCTATTTCAGTAACCGAAATAGGCTGTTCAACTACAGTCGCGTAAATAAGCATAACACAAATTGGCAGATGAAGAAACATGCTGTACTACGTTGTTTTGAGCTTTACAACAAGAAAATATGTTTCTGAAGTGAATTTGTTTAAATGGAGCGTGTGACCCAATTCATAAGTGCGCTTTTGCTAAGTATATGGTTTTTTGGTTCAATCCTGCTCGGCAGCTGACCAAGCCTCCTACTTTACCCTAAGATCGGCAGATTGGTCAAACTTATCAGGAGGGATAAAAACACCAAGTCTATTTAATGCTAAGCCACGTCATTGGATTGGTGAAATATGTTCGATGTTCGAATGGTCTCGAATGAATGGTGCATCCCTAAAGAACAGTTCAACGTCGAATGTTATGACTTTTAAGCTTTACTTTAGTTATCGTTTTCTTAGTGCTTTCCAAATGTTTCATATTAGTCGCTTGCGTTTCCTAACCAATCAAAACGTTGCTCAAACATTTGATTCGCCCAAAAGATTTGTAACACCGGCGCCCGAACATAACGAATGGTTTGCAGTTGAACATTTTTATTACTAAAAGGAGAAAAATCAGAAATGTCCGATCTCCAATTAAGGTAGGTAAAGGTGATCACTTTTTTCTTCAGAGTTTATGACCCGATATCCGAGCAAAATAAAACGAATCATTGTGACCTTCTCGTTCCTTGTAGATGCACGACATGACCTTTTGTTTTTCTGTTGTTCTTTTAGCCATAAAATGTTGTACAAGACTTTTTGTGCATGTGCGTTGTATGGGTATGGACATGTGTGCTGTATATATATATATATATATATATATATATAAGCATATATACATGTATGTATATATGCATGCACATATGTATACATGCATGGCTATGTGTCTGTTTTTGTCCGTTTGTGTGTGTGTTCACACTTCCAAAAAACAAAAATAAAAAGTTTTGAAGTCCGTCTTCAAAAGGGTGTTCTTTCCTATTCTATTTCTCTAGCGTTTATGCAAGTTGCAAAAGCAACACCTATGAAGGAAACTTAAATTACTTTAGGAAAGGACGACCATGTCGTTTCATCTCGTTCAATGAGTAGTGAAGATTTGCATAACTCATGACAGAGGTCGAAGCATTGACGTTGAGTGGGCGAATGGCTCATCACTTCACGGTTTCAAGTGTCATTTCATACACGCACATGGACTTTGTGTGTAGAGACTAAATATGATGCGATCTACTCGAACAAAAGTGGTATAAAAAATTGCCATTGATACTGAGTAGAATCTTCACTGAAATCTCAGCAGTTGTAGCTTTCGGTTTCCTTATCTCTCAATATGAAATTGGAAAGTGGCTGAAAGAGAGGGAAGCCAAGGACCTCAGTGGTGCATTGGGTAACAAATGACCCACCGAAAAGAATAATCACATGCTCGATTCTGCAGTGGTGTCCATGTTTTGCAAATATTACGTCATCTTTGTCACGTCTTTGGTAACAGTGGAACAAGTTGACTCACTGAAGGTTTTTTCACTAGCTCTTAGGTCTAGGTTTTCCAAACGATCCTATGGACATTGTGAATTTTTCCTAAAATTTACCTTTTCTATCATTCCATGAGGGCATAACTAAAATAGTTGAAACATGGTATTTAGTACTGTGCACGTCTACGTGGCAAATGTTTGTTTTGGCTTATGTAGCTTATGTAGCCTTCCCTATTAATCTCATTCTGAACTGCTGAATGTTTCCGACCACTACGACAGATGACGTCGTTGCAGTTAATGGAACATCAAAGCGATAGTACGTCTGACTCTGCCCACATCTACACACAGGACAAGGTAGCTCTCGAAGCGAATTTCACGCCTCATTTACCTCGCATCACTCGATGTGCAGCAGCCCAACCATACTAGACAAAGGATAGCGAAAAAAAAAAGCGAAAAAGGAAAAAGCAGCGATACACACGTACGCCTACTAATTGTGATATAGTAATGGAACTGACCGAGCAGGCGTTATCAAGAGAGGCGTGGCCAGCGTTACTCCTTTTTTTTGTGCTCGATGTTCGTCTCCTTCCCACATAACTCCATCACCGTTTACTCAAGCCACGAAGCTCATCTACTCACAAGATCCCTCCGCAGAGATGACGGTCTCAAATAATGGAACTATTCTAGACTTGGCTTATTCATGTCATTTCAAACTTTTTTTTGAAATGTAATCACACGCTTTTAACTTTATTAATGCTAGAGTGTTTTTCTTCTTTGAAGTGACCTTCTGTACGGCTTGTGATCTCAAATTTTGACACCTTAGGATAATCAATCCATTTGTATCGTCGATCGGCACTTTCCTACTAGCGTTCGCTATTTCTGCTTTTCCAAGCTTCTGTGATGAATTGTTTTGCTTCACTTCTATATTTTTCCCATCATTACTTCATCTAATACGAGTTTTCAGATCACCCATGAAACAGCATTCACTACAAGAAACTATTTTTTTCAGTTTATGCATGATACTCTTCTATTATACGTTGAAGGTTTGTTGATTAAATTGAATTCTTTCCTGTTTATGCGTTTTTTTCATATTATGATTAGTCCTTGTATGCAGTATGGCTGCCTGCTATTGATGAAGAAGACAAGGTGTTAGAAAAGGAACGGAATGAAGATTAAGAGGAAAAGTGTAGGCCGTTGTTAATAGCAATGCGTGGGGACATTTGTTGAGTTGTCGCTTTATGTCCACACATAAATCGTCCTTAAAATAATGTTAGTGTTGAAGCCGGACGCCTGTTGTCGCCGCCGATCTGGTGTTGGACCTTTTCATTCTGATATGAACTATGCCAACTGTGAACGGTTGTTAGATTGATGAAATGTCATATCGTTCCATTTTGTTCTATTGGTTGTACGAAACAAGTGCTGAATTTTCTAGCTTAAGTCTCTATTAAAAACGACTATTACTGAGTTTTTTCTTGGCTATTTAATACATGGTCCAACCAGTCTCTTTGGACGAATCGTCTCAGGAATGATCTGCAGATGATGGAAGCAGGTCGGCGAATTAACCAAGGAAATTGCGAAAAAGTGACATAATGTGCTTATATCCGACTCATTTGGCATTGGTGTCTATGATTGTCACGGTGTTCTTTGATAATCGATGACAGTGACGAACTTTGGATTACGACGTCACTAAACACAGCTTGAAAGCTCAGCTGATTTGTTGTTAATGAAAGGTCTTAAGAAATCCCTGAACAGTAAGAATGTGCTGTAGTTTCTAATCTACGAACCAGAGCCTCCTCATCTAACAGTTAATAGGTTGGAGCGCCCATAGCATTCTATTTCTCATTCCCCATATTATGACGGCAAATTAACATGGGCAGCAGATGTGAAGACAGTTCTTGATATTTTTTTCAAATTCTACGCTTATTAAGTCTACTGTGTGAAATGCCATTGTTGCTATTTTTGACTAACATCTTATGACTAATTAGCGTATGACACGGAGGCCACATTGACGTGACCTTGGTTAGAGATTCCAACCACCTACAACAAATGTGCTTAAGCTGATCTACTATTTGTCATCTTTACCATAGCTTTGTTTTTCAAAGCTCAACATCTAAAATTTCGCTGATATTGCAAAGTGCATACGATAATGCGAAGTTCATAGTAACATTTGTATGGTAACTGAATGTCGTCAACTTTATCGTTCGTTCCTTATCAGCTATTGATTGAATTCAAGGTGAGATCGATAAATTATGGTGATTCGTTGAAGAGTTGAAGAACTGGAGCGTCGTGATTGACAATGAGTTACCAAGTAGTACCAGAGGCTTGTTTTCTTGGTAGCACCTCACCGTTCGAAGTTACTGGCAGTTGTTGGCGGCACAATACTAAGATCGCTTATATATGAGGAGATGATTTCCCAAAAAGATTATGCACTTAAATATCTGAACAGTTAAGAAACCGATTTTTACTATTATTATGTAATTAACCAAAAAAATTTAATTTAAATGGTAATCTTTGTTTTAGCAAGATTTTACCTCCCTGGGGTTCTGTGTTGCGCGATGTCAGGGTTTCTTACAAGTTGTAATCAAAAGTGCTCACAATCTCTTGTGTATCAAAGGGTGATTAGCAAAATTGTCACTGTTTCTTTAACAAGAACGTCAACCATTTTTGACATTGGCTTCTTGTTTACTACTATTCTGAAAAAAAAGTGCCAGAAAAACATCTTTGTCATTTTATTTATCGTTCTCATCACAATATAGATCGCTAATACAGAATCTGATCTGAAGTGAAGTCATATTTCAACCATTTCACTGTTTTGAGAAAATCTCTCATGTTACCTTTTCCAGAGAGCCTGCTCTGCGGAGCGTCTTGATTCATTGGAATTGAATGAGTTGAGATTGAATGAGTGAATGAGTTTTTTAGACAGCAGCGGATACCAGGGAATGAAGCCTGGTTAACCGTTGCTCGGAATGGAACCAAAGGCTATCTGAAATAAGGAATATTAATAGTATAGTAATCGTAAGAATGGTCAAATAAAACAGTTTTTTAAAGACAGCTTTAATCTATAAAGTTATTAGGTATAAGAAACAGAATTCTGGCTGATTGCAAAGAGAATATTGACTCGATGTTTTTCCTCAATAGGCAGACACGAGGTTGTTATTATAGAATTTATTAGAATACAATAGCACAGCCTGGAAAGGTCAAATTGAGATGCGATCTATTCAGCTAAGAATATTCACTGTCACCTTTTGGGTCCATGCATTGACCATATTGTTAGCTCTTCTTCACTGTTTTTTTTAACGGTGTCGATTTATTGGAACTCGCAATGTTCTATTAATCTCTGCTTAATCAGGGATTTCATGAGGTTCCGTGAGTATAATAGGTCTGGAAACAATGTTTGTTGGATGTTGTAAAGTCATTTCATTAGACAGAATTTGAGGCAAAATCAGTGTTGTTCTTTCTAGAAGTCGACGATTATTAGTCGACGACCAGCCAACGGTTTACCGCCTCATCCTGGCTGGGAGGTGTTCCTGGGTGTCGGACTGCGATATACAGCGGTGCAATTCGTCCCACGACAGGATCTCCTAAGCTGAAAAAGAGTCCGGCGTTTCCATCAGAAAGTCTAGCTAAGGATAAGCCAATACCAGGATCCACCACCGTCTTGGTATCAAAGTCGCATGGTGGCAAATCTCCCTCTGTTCCACAAAGGCTGCGACAGCCTGTGGTGGTGAAGAGCTGGGGCAGACTTTGGCGAGGCTGACCTCGGAATTCCAGGAAACCACAATGGCTTATCCAGCAAATCTCCGAAAAATGCAAATTATGCTGGGGTCCTCACAACCAGTGAGAATGGGCCATTCAAGTATCAAATATCAAGTAAGAAGTCGATGATGCTGCGGTAGCTCCATTCTTCCACCCACATATGTGAAAATCAAGAAATCAGTGCTGAATTGTGTCTAAGCAAGTACTGAAAATGAATTTCAAAGTTTCTGAGAAATCGCTAGTCGCACAAACGTAATAAAATAAAAGGCGGAGAGCTTTTCATTCTTTATCATCTTTTGATCTAGAGTGTGTGCTGAATTTTCATACTCGCCAACCTAATAATAAACACACCGGAAGTTGTTAATAGATTGTACTATATAGCTGGGTTCAATTCTATTTAATTACCAGATAACTCGAAGTTGCGCCTGCATAACTGCATTAGTAACTTCCTCGAAGACCACAAGAACCGTCATGCTTTTTATACGAGGTCCACTATTTTCACCACTCTAGAAGGTAAAGTGCCCAAGAAGCAACACATTGTGCACGGTCGTTGGTTCTTGACTTGGCTTTCAAATTAAAATAAGTCAAGCTCGTTTTTACCTTGATAACTATGATTGAAGAACGATTTCCTAGAGTGCCTTGCACTTCTGCAACTAGGAACACCTTCGTACACGGCGGAATAGTAACTCTACAAAAGGCTGATATGCTTCGTATTTATTATTTTTTACAGGTGAATGCGACTAAATGCGACTGCCGCACAAGTGATGAAGAGAACAAGACAAGAGACCATCTTCGTCTCGTCATACGAATATCAGCATTAAAATTACTGCCAACTGTACGGGAGATCATCTACCAGAGTGAAGGTGAAAAATTAGTGGGCTCGAAATTTATGCAGCTCAACATCTTCTGCGTTTGCAATACCTGATTTTAGCTGAGAAATCATATCTTCTTCTTCGAGCAAAATATGAAATACTCAAGGATTTAAGAGTCAACTACGGTAATTTACTAGCGGGAACGAATATCATGCCCAGTGTTGATGTTTTAATCGATTCCATCAGGGTGATGATGAACGACAATCAGGTGAGGTACTATTCAAAATGATTTTGGATTAAAAAGCGCTGGTTTATAAAAACTGAGCTGAGTTTGCCTAGAATGAAGTGATCACCCTCGAGAAATTATTGTACTGCAAAGACCAAAATTGATGTTAACTCAGTGAATACAGTAATTCTCAATATTTCCTAGATATTCAAATAAAATTTCTACAGTAGTTTTTCTTCTCGTTAAAAGTAAGTGCAGGATATATTGGTTAACGATTATGCAATCATAAACCAGCATCCTAACAAAACAGCCAAAAAAATAAATGTGGTGTAACCACCGAGTGAACAAAAGAATAAAATAGTGGTAAACGGTGATGTTTTTTTTACACCAAAACTTGAATTTGGTAGATGACTTCAAATCGTTATTTGCTGAAATCTCTTTTTACAGATTTTTTTCGTATTATACTTCCACGTGATTTCTGTGCGGTTGGTCTCTACGTGACATACTTAGTGGAAACCTCATAGAAAGCGGCTCTGAAGAAGGCGAAATTCGCCGAAACGTCAGCTTAATCGTGAACAAAGAATAGTAACACCTCGCGTTTGCTCAACAAAAATACGAAGAAAATCACTTGATCAATGCCGAGGTTAATAGAAAGTCGGTCGTGGCAGTTTCTTTTTACAGATTCTATCAAGCATTAAGTGGACGATAGCATCTTACGGAAATTGGATGTGTCACTTTTAGCCTCGTTCATAGAAGCGTGACTCGAGTGAGCTCCAGCAAATCTTCCATTTTTCGTTGTCGCCTGCAAGAGTAGCCCAGTGAGTTCTGATCACCCTAAGGACTCGTTCGGTATCATGGCTTTCTTCTAGGGCTTTCGTAGGAAACTCTGACCGCCATCTTGATTGTCATCCTGCTGTAAGTTTGTTATCCCGAGGAATCCAGCTGCTAACGGCTCTTGTCTATCGGTTGTCATTCATATGCATTACATGTCTGGCCCACCTCATCTTCGACTGTTTGGCGTGCAAAACGGCATCTTTGATTTTTGATCGTTGATGTAAGTTGGAGCTTCGAATCGCTTCCCTTACTTGTGTGAAACGGGATACTCCTAGCATCGTCCCTTCACCTGCGCGTTCGACAACGCTGAGTGATCTTTCATCCTGCTTACGCAGCGACCAGGTTTCTGGCGCATACATTAGGGCAGAAAGTACCATTGAGTCAAAAAGGTAAGCACGGAGTCGGGTGTTCTTTGTTTTCTTCACTACATCACCGATGTCTTGAAAGCTCCCCGAGCCGCTCGTTTCCTTCTGCTCAGCTCTGGAGATAAATTGTTCAACATATTGTTTATCTGATCTAGATATGCATAACTGGAGTATTCGGAGATATTCGTTTTGTTGAGCGTGGATTGGGCATAAAAAGCAATCCGTTCTTCATGAACGTCGCTTACGTGAGACTTAGTCGAAAAGCAATCTTTCCGCAGGCTCTGTAAAAGTTAGCAAGGATACGCTCCGCTTGGCTAATGTTTGGTGTTATAAGGACGACGTCATCAGCAAAGCGGGAGTGGTGTAATTGCTGAACATCAATTTTCACCTCCATGTTGTCCTCTCCCAGTGTTTGCAAGGCATTTTCGAGGGTGGCGGTAAATAGTTTTGGAGAGACAGTGTCGTCTTGCCTAACCCCTCTTTTCACGTCGACGTTAACGTGCTAGTTGAATGGTCGTAGTTGTGAAAGTTGCATACAGATCACGAAGAATCCTTATAAACTAAATAGGAACTCTTTGACTGTCCAGGGAATTAACGACTGTTTCTATTACAATTGAGTTGAATGATTTTTTTAAATTGACGAAAATGAGAAAAGAGGTTTTTTGTACTCTCGCGATCAATGAGTCTTGGTATCGCGTGGATATGGCCCATCGTACTAAGTCGTTTTCGAAACCGTGCTTGCTTACATGGCTGTCCTTCGTTCAGTGTTCTGTCTATTCTGTTTAGGATGACTCGAGTGCAATGTTCACAAACGACGTCTAGAAAGCAAATCGGACCATAGCTGCCGATACCGGAATCATCACCCTTCTTGAACAGTGACACGCTTTTGCTGATCTTCCACTGAGCAGCAGATTGGCGTTTTGACGGGCATTGTGTAAAGAGGCAAGCCGGTATCTCGATGAGGAGTGACGGAAGGTTTTTTGAGTGTTTAGATCTTATCCTAACCGGACCTGGTGCTGTTCTAATCTTCACCGACGAAATTGCATATCGGATTTCGGAAGGGAGAACTACTAGTATACCACATTCATCCTCCTTTATTCATATGGGGGTAATAGAACGTGGTTATTGAAAAGATCTGAGTAGTAATCGTGAATGATTTTCTTCAGTGCCTTTCAGGACGCTGTAACTGTTCCGTCTGGGCGTCGGAGTGCAACCATCTTGGTCTTTCAATTGGAAGAGCTTCAGTGGCTTTTGCGATTGCTCTTTCCAGGCTTTGCGCTTTCGACTACAACTACTGCTCTTTTCTCTCTAAGATCTTCCTTTATCCTCTGTCGGCATTGTTTTGCATAATAGGACGAGAGTTGGCAGTTGCCTCTGCTCGTGCGATCCCAGGCTGGCGTATCAGCTGGGAGGTTTTTGGAGACAGACTTTTCTTACTACCTTTCTAACTCTCAGCTTTCAAAGCGCTAATGCGAAGATTTGGAATAAGGCGATCTCATTCCTCGTCGATGTTATCGAGAACGGCATCTACCCAAAAGCTGGCTAATAAATGGAATAAATAGCAATTTATGTCAGCCCCACTTTGTGGTGGTTTTGCGACTTCGTTTTTTGGATCTAGCGGCTTTTTCTCCTTGCGAAAAATGAAATTTTGCGCGAAGGAGAAGATGGTCTGATTTCGTGTAGAATTTTGGGACAACAGCGATATCAATTAGGCGAAGCCTTTTATTTACTACTTATTTACTACTTTACTATGTGGCCTATTTCGTTATGGTACGCTCCATTGAGAGACTCCCACAACCAGCGTTCTTACGGACATAAAGAAAGATCTTATCGCTACCTTCCTTTAAAGGAAATTAAGCATCAGACACTATCGACTTTGTTCAAGCTTACGAAGAACACGAGGAACACATGATTGTTGCACATATTGCATATTTATTCGCACACCATAATTCTTTCATAATCCGCTCTGCTCGTTTAGGTCGCGTAAAAGGCATAGAGTTGATTTCACTTCGTCAAATTCCTTGCTTTCGTTAAACTCATATGAAACTCGTCTTTCAAACTGTTTTTCGCTAAAAAAGGTTACCCACTTTCTCTTTGCCGGTTTTTCTTAACTTTTCACTTTTCAATTATTATTCTATTTTCTAAATTTATTACTGCGTACCTCCCAACGGTTTACCGCCTCATCGTGGCTGGGAGGTGTTTTGTTTTGGATGTCGGAGTGCGTTGTACAGTGGGGGATTCATCCCCTGGCAGGGTCTCCCAAGCTGAGAAAGAGTTCGGTGTTTCCATCAGAAAGCCTAGTTAAGAGCAAACCAATACCAGGATCCACCACAATCCTGGTATCAAAATCGCATGGTGGTAAATCTCTCTCTGATCCACAAGGGCTGAGACTGCCTGTGGTGGTGAAGACCTGAAGCAGACTTTGCCTAGGCTAACCTCGAGACTCCAGGGAACCACAATGGCTTAACCAGCAAATCTCCGAAAAATGGAGATTATGCTGGGGCCTGCACAGCCAATGAGGACGGGCCATTCAAGTATCAAGTGAGTAAGTAATATTGCACAAGGCGACAACACATGTACCACACAGGTTGGAACTCAGCGGTCTCTACATAACAGTGTTAGCGTTGCCTCACATCCACCGTCCATCAAGGTCTTCAATCTTTCTTTCATCTCTCTTCAGCTGCTGAGCGTGGATATTTTCGTCTTTGTGAAAAACGCCGTTGAATCATGGTCGACTCGGTGCTCCATGGAATTCAGATATAGCCGCAGTAGGGGAATCAACCGTGGTAGGTGGTTCCCGTTCCCGAAGGGTTGAAAGGATTGGTGGATCCGGTGTGGTGTCGAACAACAGCTTGGGTATATTCGGCCGTCCGCATAATACCATCATTATCATTGGGCCGCCCGCTCCTTATTATTCAAATTAAACAGTGAAAAAATAATTAATGATGGGAAGAAGGCTAACGTGAAGATGTGAAGCGAAATCTGAACCCTAAATAAAATATAACATGACCAAGAAAACGTGGTTTAATACAAAAGCCCGAAAAAAATGAATTTTGAAAAAATTCTAAAGAATATCTGAGAAGAAATAGCACAAGGCGTCGGCATTCACCGCAAATAATAACTGTATTCGTGATCAATCATCACGCTTAAAATGTTCAGGCAAGCACAGTAATTTGGTACAACGGATAAGAAGAGATATTGAATGATGGGATGAAAAATCGGTAAATTATAAAAAGTGTGAATTTTAAAGGGCATTCGATTCCAATGGTAGTAAACTTTGTGTAATTTGAAATTCCAGAGTCTCACTTTGAAAGAGATGCATTTGTTGGTGACAAAAAGTGTGAGCAAATTCCACGCTACAGTACTTCCAACGGCTTTTTTGTGTTTCGCCCTTGGCACATGCAGGTAGCCATCGTCATTAGTTATTCATTTCGTTTTATGTTAGATGTTAAATCTGATTTAAATTTTTCGTTTTTCTCTGCTTTTTGTTGCAGAATGGGTAGTTCACAGTACATGAGCTGCATGCGTAACAATGTGCAACAATGGACGACATTTCTGGGTGACGATCCGCTAAATATAGCAAAAAAGTACGAGTTTTGCAATGTCCTTTTTCAAGGGTTTTGTTCTGTTTCGTCACTTTTGCTCAATAGGTGCTATTGTTTCTACAAGCATTACTTGATAATGAAATCAGTATCTGTGAGTGCGAGCAGAATGTGTCCTGATTTTTTTGTGCTTACCCAACATACAATTTGTAATAGAACCATTCATTCCAATGTTTTTCAAGACAGATGTTGTGATGGGATAGTCGTTTGCTGGGAAAAACTCTATTCTGTGCTTGGGATTATGCAAAAAGCTTTTCTCCAACTAGTTCCTTGACCGATAGTTTGACCGGTAATTGACTGTTATTTCAATCATTATAGCAGTAACTACTCATAGTTATCGCAAGGAATTTTCCGGTTTAAAAAGGATTGTAAAAGACGCAGGATAAGTTGTAAAACACTTCGAAGTGCTGGCAGCAATGTGTTTCCAAGACGGGCTGCAGTAACATACAGTAATTAGTAGCACACAGACCATTCTCACAAATACAGCGATAGACTAACCAAAAAAGCGAGTCTCTTCTATAACTTTGTTTTTTTTAGCACATCAAGTTTTTTGATTATGGAAGCATTATCTCTATTAGGCATGTACTTTTTCATTGATAAGCAAACACGTTATCGATAAAATAAACCGTATTCGAAAAATGTTGCTACGCCTCCGCGTTCTTCAGAGTCGAACTGATCTGAGGCGGTTGCTGCTTCTTCTTCCGAAACGAGTCTTCGTGACTATATCGAGTCGAATCATGTGTAGCAAAGTCTGAATCAATATTGCTGTTTATTGTTAAACACAAGGAGGTCTATAAGACATAAAATCACTCCTTGTCTATTGCTGCAGCCACGCAAAATCAAGCGTCGTCGCTCAAGAGTTAATCCTTAACGTCTCACCTTCACCATTTAAACAAAACAGAGATGTAATTATATTCTTCTTGTTCCATAGAATGTGTTATATATGTACATACACATATAAGTATATTTTTATACGACCGTTCTTTCACAGCTACTGTGCCGATGCCAGCACGATTCGTTTCCTGGCATCCACAATCCACGAAGGTGTTGCAACTTTTACATTTGATTTCGGCTGTTGCTTCAGGAATTTCATTTCATCTTGAATGTTGAAGAACCCTGGTCGACATCATTCTCACTGGAGTCTAGAGATAACCGGGCTAGAAATTTCTCACCTAGATTGCAGAGAACGGCTTTTCCGGGAGAAGTCTAGTACCAATCTCCCGACCGCAAAGAGATTGCAGTTTTTGAGCTCGGAGCGGGATCGAACCAGTAACGTGTTCGTGATATCGGCATTGCTACAACTGTTCTATCGGTCCTATATATGTATATATAAGTGTAAAGTAAGAGTGTAGTGCTACTTAGAGTTTATCGAATGCATATTTGGCTGCGCAACGACTTGCGGATTTCTACCAATGCATTAAGCCAGCGTGCTTATTCTCCCAGAGTTTCATAGCGATTCGTTTACTATGAAAGGACGGCTGCCTCGAACAGCAGGCTTTCAATGTCAGTTTATTCCTTCTGTTTCATGTACCTTTTATATTCCATGGCTATTCTATGTATAACTCTCTATATTCTCCTTCACAAACACGAGATATTACTTTATTCTTTATTTAAGGAAAGTAGTTTATTTAGGGAAGGCTGACCTAAGTAGCACCTCGTGTTTTCTCAACATTCTCAGCAAGGATATAGAGAATTATTTGAACACTGCTGAGGTTAATAGAAAATTGATCGTAGGAATTCTGTGCATACTTACGGTATAATATTTACTATGGGATTAATATTGTTTTGCTTCTCATGAAGTTTTGGCCCCATCAAACTGGCTTTTATCTAGTCCATATTCCTTCTCTTTCCCTGCTCTACTCAGTTGTTGAGGATTGTATTCGCAGTATCGTTTTTTTCAAGTATTCGATAGGAATATTCCACAATGCTTATGTTACTTTCGTCCGAATCGATGCACTTCATCATCTGTGGCAGTATGAAGGTTAATAGCACTAGGTATATGGTATCGATTTACGGAATCGGAGTGGAATCACTAGTAGTCTGGAGCGGAAGGCAAGTAATGGAAGAGCTGCATCGTTGTATTTGAATCGCGGTACCACTCTCTCTGTTGTAGTTGTTATGCATCAGTGGTTGATTTTCATGGCAGTCAAAAAATATGGTAAAATACTGCTCGTTTCAATGTTCGTTGTCAAAAAACGGTTGAGAAAAACTCAAAGCGTATTCCATGCTGCCTTTTGTGGTGAAAGAAAATTTAATTGGGTTTCGTGATCAAAATGCGTCAGTATCACTACTCTCAGTTTCTATCGGAAAGACCTTGTAGGGTTTTAAGCGATCTTCTAAATCAAGAAGATAGCTGCTGTCGGCCTATAAGGTATTGCTCTTCCGTTGCAGGTGCAAAGCAAAATATGGTCACCATGGTGCGTTGCTAAAGTGTTCCTTGGATCGATACTGATGACATATTTTCGAAGATTTAATTGTGTTTCAGTTTTTATCTCATTTCCTGATATTCTTAGATAGCAATGTATAAGTTTACCGGCTATTATCGTAGGCTTTGAGTTTGTTGGAAGAATGAATTTTAACTTTGGTTTCAAGATATCGGTCTTAGAGCGCTCCCAGGTTTTCATGACAGGAAGTTGAATAAACGTAAAACCTACGAAAGTGAAAAGTAGGGACTACTAATGTGGGTGAAACAATCTAAGTTACGTGGTTGGTTGGCGAAAAAGAGTTGTTCCGGAGCATAACAACATTCTCAGCAGAGGCACTTGCCGGCTTTTATGGATTGCAGAGAGATTAGAAGCTTTGTGAGCCAGGTCCTCAACTATACATCGTCTCAACTCGGAACTCGAAAGCACTCCTGCAACGTCTGTAAATTCTTAGAAGCAGTGAATCTAGTATTTGCTTCAAGAACTTACAGAGCAAACCATTCAACAAACATGGTTTTCTAAATGGGTAAATAATAGTTTTGAGAATCTCAGAAAGTAAATACAAGGGTTTGCTGATTTGAGGACCATGCCAGTTGAAGGAGCAACCGTGTATGTGCGAGTGAAACGCATCTCTCATTTTATTATGTATTACCTACTGCTAGGTTCCAAATAAACAGGAAAACAGAAAAGCCATTTATAGGCTTGCCGATTTCCTGCACCGCTATAAAGGAGCAGATAACGTGCTTCAAGCTATTCATACTAGTTTGATTACTGCTGAAAATGAAGTAACGTCAGAATGTGCTCGACGATTCAATGAAATCACGGTGTGTCTGAAATGTCTCACTGACGATACCGTTGGCTACTGTAGGTTAGGCTGTTTGCATTTGTAATAAACTTTTAAACTTTATTCACTGTTGCTCATGTACTGCTTTCAATCATAGCTTCTTTTCCAAAACAATCGAAAAGAAAAACATTAATGGGTTTCAGAAACTCCTGTCTGATGGCGTCATTCGGTTGTCTTGAGAATTTGGCTGAAAAGTGGGACGCCAATGTTGATGAACTGTACGAGCTTACTAGAAATTATAAGCAAGGATTCGAAGAAGTTGGTTCGCTCTTTTGACTAGCTTTATGTTTAATGTTATGTGAAAAGTACTGGCCCTCCCAACGGTTTACCTCCTCATCGTGGCTGGGAGGTGTTCCTGGGTGTCGTCTGACTGCGTTGTACAGCTACGGCATTTCCATCAGGAGGCCTAGCTAAGAGCAAACCAATACCAGGATCCACCACCGTCCTGGTATCAATGTTGCATGATGGCAAATCTTCCTCTGATCCACAAGGGGGCGACTGCCCGTGGTGGTGAAGACCTGGGGGAGACTTTGGCCAGACTGACCTCGGAATTCCAGGGAACCACAATGGCTTAACCAGCAAATTTCCGATAAATGGTTATCATGCTGGAGACCGCGCAGCCAGCGAGGACGAGCCGTTCAAGTATAAAATGTCAAGTGAAAAGTACTGGTGGATTTGTTGTGGCGCAGCCATATGTCCATTAGTTTATCCTTTGCTTTCAGGATGTCTTCTTTTTTTTCAGCAACTGAGGGAATAGCTGAGCCGTCCATTAAGCAATACGCTCGTTTGCTCGTTTTTCTCTCTGCACTAGTTTAAGCTCGTGAAACCGTAGAGAGTTCCGTATGATCGGATGAGAGCGGACTGGTTGTCATTTGATTCTGATGTGGTCATCAAAACACCTACGTATGCCTGAAATTCTTCTAGAATGGGATTTGAAATGAGATACACGTGCATTCGTGGGCCCGTTGACATACTATACGCACATACATACACACATACAAATATGCGTGTACATATACATGTATACTATATACATATATACATGCATACATACATACATACATACATACACACATACATAACATACATACAAACATACATACATACATACATACATACATACATACATATATATATATACATGCATAAAAAGTCGAGTAAAATGAAAACAGCGAACGGTTTTTCAGTTGATTAAAGGAGTTGGGAACAGTTTTCGACGGCTTGTAGGGATAAAACAACCGCGACTAGCCAGAGTAATTGTGAGTCGATGTGGTCCACTGCTCCTAGAGAACATCAGTGACACATCATACATCACCCCAAAGCCGCGAAAGCCGAAGGAAGTCGAGTTGAATATGGAGAAGCTTGTTGAACAGGTGAGCATAAATTTTCGGCTTATTTTCCCCGTTATCTTATGTCATATCAAAAGAAGGCTTGATCCCATTCCATAGAAAACGTCAAAGAGAAAAAAAAGGTAAAACGGTTCCTAAAAGAACGAAGTCGCCAAAAACGTCAATTATTGGTAAACAGGCCATAATCTTGTCGTACCATCAACGACAGCTCATAAGAATAAAACAATTGCATGCATATATATATGTATATAAATATACATATATACATATTTATGCATTTATATGCTGCGTAGATATTTGGAGATGTGATAATCCGTTTTGTCAATACAGTCTCACCGACTGCAGGCTTTCATGTCAAGTCATATACTACGTTTCCAAGAAAATTCATATTTAATGCATAAAGCAGTGCAAACAATATTTATGGAACTAGCAAGCCAAAGTGCGATCGATGGCACTTCTCTTTACTGTTTGACCCTTGAGCTGTTCATCAGCTGGTCCATGAACTCTAAAAAGTCTTGTTTTCCTATAGTGTCAAGAAAATCTTGCGCTTTTTCATTCGAACTAATTTATGACAGCGAACGGAGATACCCCTAATGTGTAAGTTTAAAATTTAACAATTTTTTTTGCGTAATATATCTCTACTTGCTTTCTTGTGGTCAAGTATATGACGTCATCAACCTGTTATGAGGTCTGGCTAAAATCCCTTGCAAATTTTTGTGGGGATTTTTTTATTAATGCGTGCTCGAGAGTTGTGGGATTTCGATTTTTCCATTGTAGATGCGTCAACTGCGGAAATGTTGGCGGCAGATTGCCGAACGGATGTGTTCGGCGGCGACCACCGAGCACTCCTTCTGTTGGAACGGCACCAGCGTCGTACGGTAAGTCAGTTTTGAATCGGTCTAATTCTAATAATTGTTAAAAATGCCAAAATAAAAGGGTTCAAATCGTGCATTGAGACTACTGTTACGGCATAACGACAAGAAAAGTGTACTTAAGGACGTCTAAAATTAAGCTTTAGTTAAGTATTACATCCCCTTATAGATTAGCAACTAAATGATATTTTTCTACGAAATCACCGATATTGTGCAGATGCTACTCTTCTTCTATTTGATTCGTTCCTTCGTGTCAATCATCGACAAAGGCCGTCGTAGTTGCGTGTTAGTTCGGTTGCTACTTGAGGATTTTTGTCTTCTTTAAGAATATCGTAGAATTCTGCTCGAGTTGATTCTTTTTGGAACAGCAGTGCTAGGGCTTTTTCAAGTTTCACCATAGGCGGTCACCAATAACTACATCTTCCCAGACACGTCTGTTGTCAATTTTTCCCACTCCACTTGGGTGGTAGATCTATTTGGCCCGATTTGGGTTCCAACCATGGCCACTTATTAAACGGTATCTTAAGCATTGCATTACCGATATCTGTAACAAGGTAACAAAGTGCTCAATAAGCTAACAGAAAACGGTTTGCCAAGAAAAAGTTGGTTGTTAACAAAAATGTTAAGTTTGTGCTTGAGCAGTGCAGCACCCTAAGAAAGATCAAACTCGTTCCAATTATGAGGACGAATCAACCGAAAATAAATAACGTGATACCATGATTAGAACCATCTTTTTCACTAATTAGTTTAATATGGTGTGCTCTTAGCATGCGGTTAGATTTCACGACCTTTTCTTATGTGATTTGAGCCTTCACGAATCCTGTTGAATAACTACGTTCGATGAACACAGCATCACAACACACTTTATTAAAACAGAATATTTGAAGTAGACTTCCTCAGTACGCATGCAAAAATTCCTGACTAAATCAGTTGCAAGAAGTATGGTTTACGTTCTGTCTCGATCATCATCCAAACGCTAGTGATTCCTAATTCCAAATTTCGGCAAGCGCTCATTTTTAGCCTTTGTGGTTAACATCGTAAAGACGGGAAGTGGATTTTTTTCTATGAAAGCACCCTGAAGAAAATTAAATTCTTTGATAAACACTGCCTATGAGTGGTTTTCGTTTTCCATAAATGTAAAACACAAAAGTTGCCAAAGGATGACTTTTTCTTAAGAATTTTTCTTGTGTTTTAACTGGTGCCGTATTCTATTGGAAGTGTTTTGGAAAAGCATACCTTTGAACAAAACTTGTCATTTTGTTTGAGAACGGTCAGCGTTTTGCATTTCAGTCGTGCAGCAAAACGAGGCAACCAGTTCGTTTCAATAGGAGATTATGCAGATCAGACAAGTTTTGTGACATTTAAAAGCACTGAAACAAAAGGAACTTATTTCGATTAGAGTAGGCTTCCATGTTAGTTGAGCTTTTGATACGATGCAGAGCTGTAGTAATGGAGAGGAACCAATGAGGTATTCTAGCTTTTCCCACACAATATGTTTTTCCCATATTTAATTGGTGAGCAATCATTGGCAACTGTCTATGCTGAGATTCTTGCACCATATAAACCTCATAACTATTCTTTACATGCGTGAAATATCTCGTCATGAGTCATTCGGACTTCTTGGTTTCTCACTACCGTACTCTGTTGAATGAACTTTATGATTTCAGTTGATTCATCTTCCAGTTCTTATAACGTTTCAGTAGCTTTAATAGACGATGTGCGGCGCAATATCAGGAGGAGGGCGAGGAAATGGAGTTAAAAAAATATTTGGAGGAACCCATTCGTCCTCAAATCCCGAGAGCACTATTATATGAAAAATTACAACTTAGTTCGTAGCCAAAACAAAGTTATTCTTTATTAGCGTTGTCTAAGGATATGATACCCAGAAATTCTTTCATGTTTGAGGAAAAAGATGTGGCAGAGACTTCTTCGTGACTTAGAAATCTTCGATTCTGACCCGTATAGGAGAGACGGAAGAACGGCTAGACAGAAAGAGTCGGGGGAGGGCAGCGGCTCGGTAGGCGGAACGTGCTGTTGGCGTAGATCCGAACTGATAGCTACGTTGACGGACTCATCAGAAGACATTTCGGTTATTTCGGCTTGCCTTCACTATTTCGACTATCTCATTCTACTACTGACGGCCATATAAGTTTGCACATAAGGATAGGCAAGCACAGAAAAAGTAGATTTCAAAGTGAACGTGACTATGTCACTACGGATTCGCATCAACACGACATCGGCTATAATTCGTCTTACTATGTTAATAATGCTGTTATTCTCCTATTGCAGAATACAACTCGCTACTGATGATTTTAACATCGAAACGAAAGATGTTCGCCCACGTCCCAAGGTCAGTATCTAAACAGAAATTTGTTCTTAAGTAGAAAATCGTCTATTTCTGATTTCTCGAGCTTTATCTGTTTTTCTTACCTTATTATTGGCAGTTGTAAAAATTGAAATTTCTTTCTCATCAATGCCATTATCACCATCAACATCATCATCATAATTTCGTGCTAAATCTCTCCCACTTTGGTCTTAACCTAATTAACATTCTTTTGGCGTTCAGAGTTCACTCTAGTCGTTCTGCCACCACTTTTTTCATATGAATTTGACCAAATGAAAAAAAAACGGATTAGAGCTTTCAAGCGTCTAGAAACTCTCGGCGTCCTTCACATAAATGTTGTGGCTCCTTTTCTGTTCGATGATTTGCTGGTCAAAATCGTTGTCCTGCCTGTGCTATGAGTTTGGTTATCATCTTTCATCTAATTTAGAACCAGTATTTATATAACTTAAGGTTTTTGGAGAAAAAAGATAAAGAGGAAAAAATCGTTCAAAAGACCAAACATCGGTTAGCCGCTTGTGGGCAGAAATAATGTCTGCAATGCGACCACTGGCCAACTGATTGCTTTCTTGGCAATTTATGCAGAAACGTTAGCTGGAATTCATCTCGTTAAGCTCTCAGACTTTCCACGGAACCATTATTCCTGCTTTTGATACTCATCCGGTGAATATTCTTGATGGTTTTCTTTAAGAATATGAATAGAATTGGGGAAAACCCTCTGTGTACGATAGGTAATTGTAGAGCCGATTAAACCGGATGACATTTCACTGCCGGGATTCATAGTGTATTTTGACGAATTTCGTCGACTGACACTCACAAAACTTCTATAAAACTAATTCACTAGGAGAAAATCTCAAACTATAACAGAATCGACCAGCATCGAAATATATGTTGTATGGACAGATTGTCTATTAATTCTTCAAAAACAACAACATCGGCGGGCTTTTGTGAGCACAACGATGATGTTATTAGCTGGAAATGAACTCAAAGCCTAATAATATTACGTTTGTCTACGATGAGTGGAATTTTATGAACAACGACTAATGTCAATACAGATGCCTGCAGATGGTCGTATTGTCTCAAGTATGAATGCTGATTCGTTTTTGTTCAGGAAGCAGTCAACGGCGTTGCGTTTTTTTTTCATTTTCGATTTGGAAGCTTAGCTAAGACGTCCACTCGGAAACAACATTGTATGGACTTTACTATGTGATGAGCTTTCGGTTTTTCATCTCTTCACTTGCACTTCGTTAACTACTTTCCAACGAACTTTCCACTCTTTGTCGTTAAAGCTATCGAAAGATAAATTAGGACCATGTTCAACAAATTTGACACTTAAAACGACGAAACAGCATTTGGAGGATACATTGTTTTGGTGATTACTAATATTTTTGAAGTATTATAAATTTTACCAGAACACTCTCTATGGCCGTTTGTCTATTCGACACTCTTTCTTTCGTTGGGTCGTATCCTCATGGGATTTTCGTCTTAACGAGACTCACTACAACTTCTGACGGCGTTATTTTGAAGCGGATGCATTTTAAGACAACCATTGGATGACACACGGTGGCATGATGATGAATTCCTTGAGCGTGTGCGGCGTTATATGGGCCAATGCTCGTCGATTTGTATATTTTAAACGGGAGAACTTTTTCCATTTGTGACCGTTGTACTTTGTTTATAGAAAAAGTAACAGCTTAGTGACAAGATGACAAGATGACAAAATAACAGTGAATGATGAATATTGCTGTACTATATTCTCATATCGTAACGTCATACTCAGTTACTCTTTAGCTTCTGTAACCCCAATAATTACCGAACCATTCAAGCGACTGCCACCAAAATCTTGCCCACTTGTTCTCGTCGCTAGTCAGTTCTGCCAAATGAGTTCAGTCCTTCTAGTTTTACCGATACTTACGAGAAGACACCAATAAATAACTTAATTGGTTATTCCAAAGCACTCAGGAGCTCATGGTTTGCTCTCCAGGAGTTTTCAAGTTGTCATTAAAGTTAATTTCTGCGACGTAACACCTGGTCATCTACCACGTATTTCATCGCTACTTGATTAGAGGATTTTGACTCAATCGCCGTAGATGATATACAATCCGTACACTCGCAAATACACAGAAGTCATAAGTTCAAGGTCACTTTTAGTGAGTGTTTAACTATCTATCCGCCACCTCGTAGCGCGTCACATAGCCTTGATATTAGCTTCGTGACTAACCGACTCGAGGTCTCTTCATATGAGGGCGATCCGTCGTTGATTATTCAACTCTACCGCATTATGAGATCGCACTAACTCCATTTAATTGGCAACGGCTCCAGGTTAAAAATAATGTATTGGACGACTTCCAGCTGTCACCAACACTAAATTCTTCAACGCTAATCGATCATTAAATGTCTTTATAATGTTGGCGATTATTTTCTCAAGGATAACTGCGTCTGGTTTTGCGAATGTCATTAATTACATACGGAAAAAACCGATGCAGACCACCGTCGTGATGTAGCCAATAGGCGATAAAGAACACCCTGTTCACTTGTGAACTATATTGAATTCCATTGAAATGTAAAGAGCAATTGTACCCAACTTTATAGTCGTCGTCTTATAATAATCAATCAAGCAATCAAGCAAATTTTGATGTTTTACCCAATTTTTACTTCGGCTGGTTTTTTTCCGGCAGGTAATGGAGAAAATCTTCTCTGTACCCGCTGCTACTTAAAACTGAATTCCAGAATCGAGATTTTACCAAATATTTCGCTTCGTTTATAATGTTATGTTTGTTTTTTGACTATATGAAGTATGTTAGGTTAGCAGCCTCTCCGCACTCGTCCTACCAAACGCTGCTAAATTGGGGGCTCTTTTGGGTTCAGAGGTATGAGGCCTTTATCTTCTACTGTGTTTATCATTTTGACACCCACTTATAGCTTGCCGAGATCTCAGTGGGTTTACATTAGGTTGGGGTCTTCGGTTAGAAGTTAGCAAAAAATAAGGAAACCAGCGACGAAAAAAGCGAAAGAATGAAAAGAAAAGTTACAATAGGACTACTAAATTCCATTGTTGGCAGCAATATAGCAGCACAACGGGCATAGCGACTGCAGGTGGCACATTTTTCAAATAAATTTTCAACAAAAGGCACTATTATTAGCGCAATCAGCAAACATTGATTAGGCCGTTGAAAAATCATTAGGAAAACGGAAAGATGTATCTCATATGAAGCATATTAGACGAATTCGCCTAGTAAGCGAGTTTCCTGGTGAGGAGGTCAATCCGGAAGTTATTTGCTCGTTAATACCGTACATGTTTAAAGTTTATGCATTTTCTGTATTATGTATATAGCATATATATTTTTTTGTAGATGAGGCGAGTGTGGCGCGGTGGTTGGAGGCGCCACTGCGACACACATGGAATCGATCCCCGCTTCCATGGTCCACCAAGCCTTCCATCCTTCCCAAGTCGGCAAATTGGTGCCAGACTTGTCTGGGAGGATAGCAGCACTGGCTCGATACATCGGTAGGCCACAGCGAGTCATTGTAAAGGCCAGATATGCATTCAATCACCTCCAAACGATGCCTAATGAAGTCGAATGCATGGCGCATCCTTCAGAGATTGATCAACGTCGAAAGCTTTATCGTTTTATTCTTTATATTTGTAAAAGTATGCGTATATCCGTGTATATAAATGGGTATTTGGTGCCTCGTCTAAACACTTGTGTACAAGTATCGAGCTTTTTCCTCTGCTGAGCTTTTTTGTTTGTTTGGCCTGGGAGATGTAATGCTGATGCGGAAAACAACAGTGAAAACAAAAAGGTAATTTAGAGAAAGCATCTTCATAGCTTATGTTTTACTAACTTTCGTTTATTTAACGTGGTAAGGATTTTCTGATCGGTTTGGTCACAGTCGTGAGTTCGGCAAGAGTTATAACACAAAGTTCCTTCTGCGCTTCACTAAAACTGCAATAATAAGTGCAATGAATCATCGGAACCGAATCCATGTTATCGAACAGGTTCCAGAAGTATAGAACTCATATTATCAGAAAAAAGCTATACTAAAAATTTGGAGGAAACATAAAAGGGGAAAAAGCTATTACTTGGTGATATGTGGGGAAAGTTTCTATTATAGTTATCCGCTTTTTTTTCACGGTAAACCTGGTTTTCAGTACCAAAAAACTTTTGGTAGATGCTAAGATCTAGGAGTAAAAGAGCATCCACGTTTCCTTTTTTCAGTGAATTAATGCGGCCATTACAATTACCAGCCTTCACTATAGAAATTTTTATAAGCGTTTAGGGAAAAGGTGTCTAAGTTAGGTAAGGTAGACAAGGAGATCTTTAGCGCCATACTAACCGACTGGTAAGTATTTTACCACTAAAGAGCGCATTTGCTAGGAACTCATTGTTGACCCCGAATGGATGTGAACGATTAGAATAGGCGTACGACGAAGCTTCTCTTTTTCATCCTCACCTTCTATTGTTTGTTCTTAACAGAGGAAGTGTGTAAAGTGTTCGTTTATAATTTTCTACATGATTGAGCAGTCAGGATGTTGGTATGTAAAACTTCTATTCGGCTAGCGTTTCGGCGCCTTCGCGTTCTTCAGAGTCGCGTTGATCCGAGTCGATGGTCCCAAGTCACGCCTCCGAATAAGGCGAAGGCGCCGTAATGTCAGCAGAACAAAAGTTTTTTTTATATCAGCATCCTCTCAGCTCGACCGTACAGCATACATTGCGAAATCAACTGGTCTTTCTACTAGTTCTTTCTGTGGAATACTTTACTTCTTTTTCTTCGATTTCACTACCACTTTTTATTTTAGGAGCCGTGGTTAGAAGAGTCATCTGGTTACCCGTATGATACAGATGATGAAGATTATAATAATATTGGTGGCGGTTCCGGATCCGGAATGCCATTCGAAGAGGTGGATGAAATTCACGTGCACACGATGACACCCGGTGAGTGCCAGTCAATCATTCCTTCATAGCTTCTTATTTACGATCGGCGATAGTAATCTGTATACCTGCAGCTCGATCTGAGGTATCTTATGGGAGATTTATAGGCTTATGATGGTTTTAATATGACACTGCGTGAATATAAGTCCATGTCCATATTCATATGTATATATTCGTAAATTAAGAGCTCTTAGACACACAAAATGACATTAGTACCAATGAATCTCATGTGCGAATGAGTACGATTCATTGCGTCATTTGCCTTAAATGCTCATCGCGGTAAGATAGTGATTTTTGCTAAGCACGACTTAATCATCTATACCTGTATGTGTGTATATGTTCGACTAATAACATGGAACAGACGATGACCGAACGAATGAGCGAACTAATAGGGCAAGGATGACGACCTTTGTGGCCTTTTGTCCCAATACACTTGGAGCTCGCACGGAATATGCTGACCATCGAAAGTATACACGCAATGCCGCGGAGTGGACGAATGAAAGAAGTATTAATATGGGCCGAGGATAAGACAGGAGAGAAAGATATTAGTCTTAATGAAAGAAGGCACTTCTGGAGATGACGCCTCCATAAACACAGTAAGTGATGCTGTCCTATTTATCTGGCTCGGCCACAAAAAATTAGAAAAGAAAACCCATTAGAGGTGAATAAATGTGACAAGCTCCCGGTTATTAGATAGACATTAGTTCAGTTGTGTCAGTAAAGTCGTATAAAAATGTTTGTGTTCGAATAATAGTCAATAGATGCTCCTATGTCTTAGATTGTCTCGTTAGAATTGGTACTTTTCTTAACAGCTCCAGAAAGTCCTCGATACAACGACTAGAAAAAAGATCTTGTGCAAAGCACTACTTTAATTCTAATATATTTAGTGAGTACTACCACTGTATCGACATCGTCATCATCATCATCATTATCACATATGCCCACGATTCAAATCGAAGACACACGATCACAATTATTCCCGAATTACCGATGTTTGACAGTGCTCATTATAATGTTAGCAACTTTTTTCCTGCTACCGTAAACCTCCACCTCCGAATCGATCAACAATCTTGTCATCATCGTACATAGTCAAAAATGGCTTTTCAATTAGATTTTTATGCATATAAGTATAAGATAATAGTGTTAGACGTAACTCTATAATAGGCCCTAATACTATAACATTACGGGCGCATATTACAACGTCGTCATTTGGAACCCTGGTTGTTATTCCTTATTTTCTAGGAGACCGGTCAACTCATGTGTCCTAGTATATTATCTAACTCTCCATTATTGTTGTAAGTGTTTTTTGCTTTCTGTACATCAAATGGTGATGTTACAATAATTCACCGGGTGTAGTGAATCACTTCCATGGTATTTTCGTCTCATTCTCATTGATTTCCTTTCCTTAGGACTGCCTGTCTTGTCGTGATTCATCATTACTTTATTCTTATTTGATCGATTTTTAGATATTCAGATTGTTTTTTTTAGAATATATTGCATTTATAGGAAGTGAGTATTCTTCTATGAAAGTTCAACTTTTTCATTTATTGCAGTAAATGCAAGGTCAGAGATTGTGACATTGACCGCAGCTTCAGTTTAACTAGATTTCAAGCTAGTGTGTGCTTCCCAGACTATTTCCATTAACGAGTGATTCCTGATAGCATCGATAAAGTAAAAAGAAGAATTGAAGGAAATGCAAAGCAAGAGTCTCGGTTTTTGTGGTGGATAGCATGTGGGCCATAGTAAGGGCAATCGTGGGTTCAAAGCCCAACCGATGTTCAGAGTTTTGCTCATATCTCAACATCCTCGTGCTTGTGCAATTCCATGAAGTTATTTCTAGAGACGTTTTTGCCGTTAAAAATCTTCTAACCACTTAATTTCTTAGTTACACATTATGTTAACAGTGCTGACAATAGTGTTGACCAAGATTTATAAAATATTGACCAAGTTCCTTATTGAAAGAAAAAAGGTTACTTCAGGCCCAGTCGACATCTAGTTTGAATGTTCGAATTTCCATCGGCTTCAACGTAATAACGAAATTACCTAAATGTTTAATAGTAAGAAGAATTGTCAATATTCGTAAAAACAACTCGTGCTGAATAAAAGAAGGTTGGGAAAGAAGCTTTTCAAAGTCGTTTTAAGGTTTTCAAATCTTTGAATAAAAATTATGTATCGAACAGGCAATAATAGTACTAGTACTCCTACAGTTCCCAAAACCGAGTTTCTATTTTTTCTTTCTTTTATTCTTTATCTTCTTCCAAATCGACTATCTATTTCCTTTATTCTACTTCTATAATCATTATTTGACTATTATTGACCGAGCATAAACTGCCAATCAATAGATAATAAGTAGTATTTGATAAATAATAGTTTTTGTGAGGAATTCTTAACGATGGCAAGTGAGGAATGTACTAAAAAGTTCTTACCAGGAAATTAATCTCAAATGATATCAAATAATTAGTCAACTAATACATAAAGAGACAAAAACAAATTGTTCAACGCTGATCAATCCTTAAGGGACATGTCCTGGATTCGAATTTGTCAAACGCCGTTAGAGGTGACTTGAATGCATATCTAGGCTATGCAATGATTTACGTGGACCTATGAGGTCAGTGGTGCCATCCTCCCAGGCAACTCTGAGGCCAATTTTCCTATCCATGAGTGATGGACAATCTACTTAGACGTCGGCACGGCATCTTAGAATCAGGCGCAGTGCATGTTATGGAAGAGCCCCTCTAACCACTGTACTACACGTGCACCAACTAATAAATGTTGATTATTAATTTTTGTAACGAATTACTCAATTGCTAATTAGAAGTACAGACTTAAAGCAAACGAGCCAGCTTGCTTTGTGGCCAACTAAATCCTTCAGCTGAAAACGGAATAGATTCACTAGAAAATTAGTGCCATTAATTAGAATTAGTTGCTAATAGTGATAACAACAGTAGCAGTGGTGAAAAGAAGGGTATAGTAAACATATTTTTAAAACGTAAAATGCAAAATACTTATTTCGTTAAAAAATTTTTTCTTACAAAAAAGTTGTTAGGAGAAAGAATGAAAGAATAAAATGTTGCATACTGGGGTAAGGATTCGGTCTGTCAAATGAACTGATATTTCGATTCGCAGCTAACATCAGCTCCGTCATACGAACAACTTTGAACTGAGTGAAGAGATCCTGAAAGGATTTTACGATCCACAACAAGGAAGTCTATATTTCGGCCTTGACATTTTCTAAACAACCATAACATCGCCATCGCTGATCAGTTTGACAAATGTTTTCAAGGTGGCTTTAGATTTCCTAGAGTGGAGCAGTTTTCTACAGTGGAACACTTTAAACACAACACGACTTTTGGGTCAGAAGGTGTGAAAATAGCGATTTGTGAGATACCATTGATACGACAGGAATTCTTGAAATTGTTGGAATGCGCGATGATTCTCAATTACATTTGTTTACAAATCTCAACACAAACCGTCAGATCAACTCTCATCGGCTTGCTGTACTCAACGTCATCCTGACTTTGAAAGATGTGCTCAAGGCGAAGAAGAAGACTTTTTCTGTCCCATCTCTCTAGCGTCATCAGATGTGCGAATTCTGGCAATGATCGTTTCATTGCTGAGAACTGGAAAAGAATATACGACTTTCCTTTATGGTCTGCTATTTCACTGAAGCAAAGTAATTTCACTTGGCTTTGTTTTAATGCGATCTAAACGACATAGAAATCATTCCAGCGTGAACAGTTCAAAAGCTGCTCAGCCAAATCATAAGAAAGGCGCGCTGAGGTAAACCCAAATCAGTAAAGAGGCTGGATAGCAACATATGACTGTCTATTCGCCAAAAAACAAAAATTAGGTACTTTTTACCAAAATTCTAATGCTGTCGTGCTTTTCACGATTGTACTAAGCATATTAAGCAGCTCAGATGCGTTTTACAGACGAATGGACTTGCTGGTCGTCGCAGGTAGGGTGATGGTCGGCTTGAAACAACCTCATGATTAACGGGCTTACAGATTGTGCTTTCTATTTATGAAAAAGTTTCCGATGTTTTACTATTTGTAAATAAAACGAAAGCAGTCCAAAAAACCAATGACCCCAATGAGGACTAAACAAATGAGGAATGAAAAGTAGCAAGAAGTTGTTTTCCTCTTTTTTCTTTCTTCTTCTTTCTATTTTTTCCTTTTTACTTTCTTCAAAAAGTGTCCTCGACCCTTTAAACCTTACGCTAAAAGCAGAATTCCGATGTTTTCATAAATCAGCACATCTTCCTAAAAAAATCGACAATTGAATGCGAAAGTTCTTTGTAAGAGGAACATGTTAGGAATTCTATTGGAAAAAGAACTGAGGTAGACATGCTTTTCAGACACGATCGTCCACATATGACGAATTCTGTGCCCGTCATTTATGGTGGGAATGTGAGAATGCGAATAGTGTAATGTCGGCGATATTTGCATCAAGTTCGATCGTATGCATGTTCGATCACATTTTCTCGAATAAACATCGCCGCTAGATTGTAAGCGCTCATTTCAGCCAGCCATTTGATTTGGTTTCACAATGGAGAAAAGGACCTGAAGGGAAAAGAAAGGCACGAAATAACATAAAAAGCAAAAGTCACTTGCATTACCTCCATTCTGTAGCTTTTAGTGTAATCACTAGCGTTTTTCACTTTACTGAAAGATAAATGAGGATGATGAAAAATGTCGATGGCCAGTGGTCGATGAATTGCTGCCGCGTTCTAAAAGCAGAGTGCAGCGATCTTTTGAAGAAGTAGCTCTTTTTTGGAATTGTTTGTAAAAAAATCACGACAACTAGTGGATTTTGTCCTACAGTATAGTACTTTTAAATAAAACAATATCTCTCCCAGAAGTCAAAACGATTTTTTAGTGTTGGAAAGCCTCAAGTGTGACGTTCTTAGAAGAATCTCTTGCGCAATCATTAACTTAAGTACTGGACGGCTAGTCGATATTGAATGACACTCACCTGTTTACCATAAGAGTTTATAAACTAGCCTTAGTATCGCCAAAAAGAACATAATGCGTTCCACGAGCAACAAGTCCATCACCGTTACCGGGTTCATCTAGAGCTTCTTCCACACCCCAATGATCGTCGACGAAGCAACGTCGATGTAGCTGATAATGAAACACTCTTCCCTTACGGTTAATTAAGGAAGAAAACGTGTAGAGTACAAGCACGTTTGAAAAGTACTAGTTCTAAGCAGTCTCACATGCCATATTTAGGCACTAACAACCCTTCTATTGTTAATGAATGCGTTAAGATTGTGGCGAATTACAAAGTGTGAAAAACTGATTTTTTCCTACCATAATTTCTAATCCGCCTTCAATTGACGTCACACCTTCGGAACGATCTGTGAGCACAGTGAGCTGTCTGTTGGCATCCTAGCAACATTTGATTCAACAAAAAATAAAATAAAATCCAATTGATCACTTAACTGATTCCTTTGCTTGGTGTTGATCTAGGAACGATGTAAGAACCAATATGTTCGCAATTATCCACTTACATTTATATACGCTCGATTAGTTACAGGATAATAATTTCCAGAAACTGGTTCGCTATCCACATATTTGAATGATGGATTGAATTTTTTCCTAAGCATCGATAATAATTGGATTTTTCGTCCGATAAGACTACGAACTTACTGTCGGCGCATCATCTGACGTCCATTGGAATCTGTGTAGAAGATATCTCTGCGTTTGATGCCTGTGACATACCTCGTCACGACTTCCTTCGTTATCGGAGATCTTCGTATGATACCATTAGTGCATTATGCACTACTCAACTTACAGTACAATAACTTATTTCGAATTCTACTTGTTGTATAGAAACTAAATAGTATCATGAGTATCAGGATAAAACAAAATCATTAACGTACGACTTTTCTTTTGGTATCGGACCAATTATCCAGTCGAATTCGATGTGCTTTGCACCTTTCTTCAGACGAATTATCTGTGCCACCCACGAATTGAACGTTTGCCGGACTTCTTCTACTAACGGACCCTGAATAGAACGATTTGGTTTCGGTGTTTTTCTAAACGTGAATCATCAAGGCTCGCACCTTCACCACTTCCAGCTGTGCTTTTCCCACAGAAAGGGCTTCACCATCAGGTCGAAAGACATAAGCTCCAGACGGTTGTGAGCCATTTATTACACCGAAAAAAGGTAGTAATTAAGGTGATTAAGTGATTAAGGTTTGAAAATTGAGGCAAAATTTTTGACAAGTTCAACCAGCGAACAATTGATCTTTAAAAAAATTCAAATTTCTCTTTTGGAATTACTCTTTCTATGGCTTACTGCCACACCGAGGTACCCTCACAATAATTTTTAAGAGTGTCGCATTGTGATGCAAAACAACTAGTTTATCCCCCAGTGAGATCTTCGAGGCACGGTGATGATTGTACATTTCAATCGGAAAGCGTAGCTAGGTGCAAACCTATTTAAGAAATCGTCATCTTTCTGAGGGAGGCTCAGTAAATGGTAGGGCTGCAGACGTTTCTGGAATGCATAAGGGTGAGGCACTACTACTTGTGGTGATGACTTAGGAGAGGTGTGGGTGTTTTCCGAAACTCCAGAAAAATTCGTCTAGAAGAACGGAAATTGTGTTGCAGACTGCACGATTCGACGTGGTGAGGCAGTGCAAGTAGCAAGTAAATATTTGGTGGTTGGGCTATTGTAACCATTGCCAAAACTTTTTTTAGACTGGTATTGCTCATTGATAGAACACCAGTAGCACAATGTGCAAAAAAAAAACGACTCGATGTTTTAGACAGCGGCGGAGAAAGTGTATTGACTGTCGAGCTAAGACGATTTTTTGTCTCAGTAACAGCGCTTCTTTTACAAGTCGGAAGTATCTTGCTGGTACATCTTGCAATAACTCCCACGACCGACTTTCTTTTAACCTCGGCATTGATCAAGTAATTCTTCGTATTTTTGCTGAGCAAACGCGAGGTGTTATTATTCTTCATTCACGAATAAGCTGACGTTTGCATGTGCACATTATGCTTCCATGTGATTTCTGTGCGGTTGGTCTCCACGTGACATACTTAGTGGAAACCTCATAGAAAGCGGCTCTGAGGTAGGCGAAATCCGCCGAAACGTCAGCGTATTCGTGAATAAAGAATAATAACATCTCGCGTTTGCTCAACAAAAATACGAAGAATTACTTGATCAATGCCGAGGTTAATAGAAAGTCGGTCGTGGGAGTTACCAGTAGCACAGTGTTGTAGAATTGTGTTAAACCGCCTCCGAAACAAACCTCGATAATAGAAGAACTCTTGACGGAACTCATAACTCGTGTTTGTTCGCTTTTCTTCAAAAATTGCTAGTAGTCCGTTTTCATCAAAGGATAGTACGAGCTCCTGAACTTAATCATTTAATTATTTTCTATCAAACTCGCTCAAAAAGCTGGTCACCAGTTATCACCTCATTTTCTATAGAAACTCGTTGATCGGTAATCATTCTGGAAGTGATTCGAACTGTCGTAAGTGGAATTGTGCTGCGACTGAAGTGGAGAAAATTCCTTTTACCTCAAATATTCTGCAACTCATTTTAAGTGCATCAAATTTTCAGCTTCCTAGAAAAGTCGAAGACGACAGCGTTGCTTTCCTTTTGTTATTTTAACTGTAAAAACAACTGAATGTCAACCCGGTGTTTCAACGTGTTAGTGCACGATACAGTTGTGGACAATGAACGCGACTAATTATGTGCATCAGCTCTATGGTTTATCAAGTATTTTTGCTACATCTTTAAGAAAGGTTTAAAAAATCGTCTGAGCTCAATAAAATCGTTTTTACCTAAGAACTAATACTTTGGATTATGCATAAACCAGCAGCCGTTGATAGAATATCTTTAATGCGTCTGGCGTAACGCTAGCCTCGCATTTACTAACCAAGGGTTGTGAGCTTGTCAATAATAGTTAGCGGGATAGGGAACATGGCGTTGATTAATCCCAGTTGGGTTAAGGAGGCGAATTTGACCACACCAAGCGCTGCAGAGAAGACGCGATCCATATTTGACTCAAAGATGATTTTCGGGGTCATAGCCAAGTATCAAATATACCTTATCTTCAAAGACAACTCTGGTTCAATTTGCCGATCCCGGAGGGATTGGTGGCTACAGCTAGAGCTAATGGCTAGGCTTCTGCGGAACACCTCTAACCACTGCATTATACGACTTCGATTTCTCATTAAACGAGGCTGTCGGTCAAGCTCACGCAAACCAGATAGGATTAAACTGTAGAAAAGATGCAGCATGTTGATAACTTACACTGACGTTGAATTGTCGACAATGTATGTTGCATAGCCGAGCGGTCCTACTTCCACGGGTATTACCAATTCAAATGGAGCTTTATGGTGTGAGTTGAGTGAACTGACTTGGAACGTCTTCATGAGCTGAGCAGCCATTGTAAAGTGTATAAATGATCATGATCATAAACCGACAAAATTGTGCTTACCTGTACCGATACTCGACCTCCTTTTGGGTTCATAACCATCGAAAGCTTTGAATAGTACGGTATTTTCACGAGTCCTGAGAACTGGCGCGAATTGCTGTTGAAAACGGTTACCGCGAATGTTGAGTGATTTCTAAAATGACAGATAACACATGCACTGATGAAACTACAAAGTAGCAAAAACCTGAGTGGTTGGCAGATTGATTCGTTTAGCAGTGGGCAAAGGATGTGTGTTGGAGCCTTTTTACCTTTTCTCGGATAAATCTTTTTGAGATAGTCGTTGATGATAACCTGAACAGTGCTTTGAAAAACTAGTACAAGTTAGGTATGTTTTTAATGTGAGAAATTTGGCATCTCTAAATTCAAATATTACAACTGTACACTCATCCAATATTTTCCATGGGATAATAAACACACCTCTCCCTCTAGTATTGACTTATGAAGACGCTTCTCATAATCCTTGGTGACGTTTTCTTTAGCAGTGCCACTATAAGAAAGCACTACAAGAGTTCGTAATAAGTACTATGGTGAAGATATTACACTAACGTGACTGCGTCGTGATGTTGAGCAAGTGCTGAAGCTCGTGCCATAATCTCAATATCGGAGTCGTCTTCAGGTCCGAGATCAGCCAATGCGTCAAGTTGCTTGCAAAGCTAAACGGTTAAAAATTCACTGAAACTTTTTTGAGATAGGAAGAGTGAAATAGTGACCTGCATAAGAGAGCTCGCTTCTCTGATCATTCCTTTCAGTGTGGGTCGACTCGTGAAATATCCAGTCCAGTAGGAATGATTCGAGGAGGCATAGCTAAAATTTTTAGTTTATTTCACCGCTTTTCTGAAGCAAATTATTACAGATTAGTGTACTTATTCATTAACTCATTTTTTGAAATCTTCAACGGTTGTGAGAATTACATTCACTATCGCAATCGTATCTCGTTGCGATCTCAACTGGTAAGGTGTTTCCTAATGTGGAGCTGCAATGTGAAGCGCTATTTCGATCGTGAAGCTCGACTATCCACGTTAAAAAGAACTTTGACATTGTCATCTGGAAGCTTTCCGACAATGAGTAAATTTATGTCAGAATTCACTCTTCGAACCAAAACCGCAGGCGTCTGCCAGTTGTGACGATGTGAGGAGGTCGTAGTAGCAGTCTTGCTTCTCTAAGGAAAGAAAATCTTGTTCAGTGAGGAAATTATGCACTTATCAATGGAAAATGTCTTGAGAGGCTCGCGATTCTTCGTGAAGACAATCTGAGCTATTCCATTACTTAGGCACTACGGTTATGCAGTAGCGTTCCCACTTAATTTTTTTTCGAAGCATTTCTATTGGCTCCCTAACTTCTACCGAATACAATAAATGACTTAAAAAAATAAAATTCTGAATTTCTTGAAGAAGCAACCAAGTTGTCTGTATAGTTCTTCTAAAAATCTTTCTCATCCTTCGTAGCTCTCATTTTGTTTCAAATATTTTTTCTAAATGATCGCCGTTCCTGAAACCTTACGGGAAGAAATCGTCAGCTTTCGTCAACAAACGTGCCGATAGTGACTCGAGAACACCTTTCACATAACATGACGGGGTCGAGTAGAACACTCGAACACCATGGCTGGTCTGAAAATGATGGGCGGTGCATAGTTGATTGCTGGATAAATTTTAAGAACCGAAGCAATACATACGTTCCTGTTTACATAATGTATCAGTTTGTCAAGATTAGTGTACCATTGATCAGCATTCGTATATTGAAAGTCGCTTCCCATCAGTAACATGGCATGTGAGGAACGAAGAAATGAAGACTGTAATCAATTTTTCAATATAAAATAAATTCACTTTTAAAAAATCAGTAAAGAATAAAAACATTTAATAATCAGCAATTCCTCACGAATGGGTCATGCATTTAACGCTACTCGTAGAGATGATTGAATGCATATTTAGATTATAGAATGACTTGCGTTGGTCAACACTGTATAAAATCAGTGTGTTTCTCTCCATCCGGACAGGCCCGGCACCATTTTGCCGAACGCGAAGCCGAATGAAGATCAATTTGCTTGGCTCGTAAGGCCAAACCGAAGGCTACATGCGTATCGCAGAACACCTCTAACCAATGCACTACAGGCACCCCCATATTTAAAAATTATGTTAATAAACTTTTAATTGCAAATTAATTAATAATTACATATTCATCATTTACTGGCCTGGTTTTTAACATACGTTACAAAAGACGAAATTTTCTCGTCAAGATTATACTCTTCCAAATCCGGATTATCCATAATTGGATCATCACGGCAAAGGGCATCAAAACAGAAACCATTTGGTGGCCCGTAATCGTTTCGATAGAATGCTCCGGTAAATATTTGAGTTTCTGAAACAACAAAACACAATTCAATAATTAGATAGGACAGTGAAGTATTTATTTATCTGCATACGAAACTTACTAAGATCCTCCGAACAGTTCCAAATAAACTCCAGACTTCTGTTTTTCAAACGGTCTTCTTTTTCAAGATAGTGAAGACGGGCGAAGAACAGTGATGTGTACCCCATCTAATACCATAAAAGTCAGAAAAAAAATTAGCTGTATTGTTTGTGCCAACGTTTGTGTTTTTACATACAGCAATGCCATACCAACGCAAAAAGATTAGCTTGTTCTTTACTATGCCCGAACGGATCGATCTGCCATGCCACCATTGGTTTTCCGCACTCGCCAAACAACTGTTCGAGTTTCTGCAACGTTAATTTGATTTGTAACAAGCAGTAGAGTTGAAAATTTTTAAAATAAAATGTTAATATGGCGAAAGATACGGTGAAACTCATTTTTCGTCAAAAAGAGAAAAATAAGCAGAAAATAAAAGCGAAATCATTGTTTGTGGTCCTATCAGCTAACTTGAAATTCGTGATAGTCGTTGAGTCAACAAGGCTCAAATGAATATGTTCGTTTTTTCATTGTCGTAGATCCATTCACTTACCTTCAGTCCAAAAGTCATTTGATCGACAATATCAACATAATGCGATGCAGCCTCATCATTCTGAACCCAACCACCACCAATAATCTCTACCTGACCTGAAAAATAACATCACTGCAAGTATATCGACAGCAAAACTCTTTAATTGCTTGGCATCAACAAAACAAGACTAAAAGACTAGAATTCTTCACCAAGGTTTCCTTCTTTTTAACTTAAAAAAGCAACTGCTAAAAGACTGCTTACCAAAGGAGTGCTAAGGCACTTTTTATTTGCTGTTTATAAACAAATTCACTTACAGTGAACCAGCTTTTCGTCTTAAACAGAACTGAAAATTGTACAGGATTGATGCGAATTTCAAACTTCATCGAAGAAGAGAGTGGTGAGTTTCTAAGCTAGCCACAGGTAGCAAAAGAAAGAAAGTTGCTGTAACTATAAAACAACCTGTATCCGTTCAAAAATCTAGAGATGCTTACTATTAAGTCCACTACCTGCTTTTAATAATACTAGGCAGTGAATCGAACCCAGGTTTCTTCTATGACAGGAGAGCATTCTGCGATACCATTCCACCACCGATGGTGACCGTATTAGGAAGGTTCATAACGCACTTTTTATAGAATTAACTGAGAGAAATACATGTTTGACAAAAAATGGAGATCTTTACATTAGCTTTGGCACTGATAACGCAATTACTCCTGCTGCATCTATATATTCATGTCAATCTTATTTTTCCTCTTGTATTAATATTGTCTAAATAAAACTTCAACAACACAAGTTTTAGATCTGGCGTAGCGACATGTTCTGGCAACTCACCTCAAGCTTCAAGTTACAATAGGTACACCCACTTCACGCAACATTCGCTCTTCTTCCTCTTCTGTATAATTCCTTGAATAAAACCCAAGCGCAATTTTAATTTTATTGACATTTTGTTGAGAGGGATAAATTTTGGTTTTTTTCAAGTCAGATGAAAGCTGGAGGAAGACGTTTTCAGGCCATCACTAGACACACTCGTCAACTATTATAGATCAAAAGCGGCTATATCGTCATGCAACTTTATTATTCAACCAGAACTCTGATAAGATAACGATTTTAAAAAATGTCATATATTATTTAGAAGCCCGTTGAGTCATTAGATTTCACCTCATGTCTCTAAAATGTTTTGAGGAAAAAAAATTTCCGGTCATTCAGAGAGTTTCTTAGAGTTTTTAATCTCAGAAATAAAAAATCTACCCATTTATAAACGCTAAAAAGGATTTAAAACCTAAGAAAAAAACTTGAAGTAATAAGTTGCTCCTAGTAAGTCCCGGCTACTTACTTGATACTTGATACTTGAATGGCCCTTCTTCACTGGTGGTGCGGGCCCCAGCCTAATCTCCATTTTTCGGAGATTTGCTGATTAAGACACTGTGGTTTTCTGGAGTCCCGAGGACAGCCTGGCCAAAGTCTGCCCCAGGTCTTCACCACCACAGTTAGTCGCAGCCCTTGTGGATCAGAAGGAGATTTACCACCATGGGACTTTGATACCAGGGCGGTGGTGGATCTTGATATTGGTTTACTCTTAGCTAGGCCTCCTCATAGAAGCGCCGGACTCCTTTTCGGCTTGGGAAACCCTGTTTGGGGGATGAATCTACATATATCGCAGTCCGACACCCAGGAATACCTCCCAGCCACGATGAGGCGGTAAACCGTTGGGAGTCCTGTCTACAATACTATGAAATTGCATTTAACAATTAGAGGATAGCGGATGCTTTTTTACTCTAAGAAACAAACCATAACATTCAAAGAAATACTGAAATTATGCCATAATTTGTGAACGTTTTTAACTTTACTTACCACTTTTCACAAGTTTCTGTAGTTGATGTTTATATGAATCATCGTGATCATTGTACCATCTCCAGAGAAATCCGGTTTCAGCAAATGAAAATCTTGAATGAACATTGTCACTTTTCATGTACTGCCTATTATTTTTTATTAATGACAGAGTATTGTGTGAAATATAGCGAGTTCATCTAGAACGGATCTTGTTGTAATACCTGTCAACTGAGAAGATATAGAATACTATTGAACTGCGTTTATACAAACCTACCTCCTTTCAGGATTTTTTTGCAGCTCGTTAATTACGGTATTATAAATGTATTGCACTCCGACCGGTACAAGTGAAGATTTAGCTGAAATTCATTGTGATAGGTTATCGGAAATATAGGCAATGATAGAAGGAGAAAGGAAAAATTCTGATGTTTGTCAATCCGATAGGGGAGACCCGACGTGCACGAATTCATAAACAGCCGTAAAGGTGATTGAATGCATATTTGAGCTGTTGAATGACTTCCGGCTCTTAGCAACGTATCAAGTCTGTTATCCTCTTAAACAAGTAATGTAGCAATTCCGCGACCTTGAGGGGATGGAAGGCTTGGTGGGCCAGGAGCACGAGTTTAAATCCGTGAGCGACCCACTATGTATTGCACGACACGTCTAACCACTACGCTCTTCATGCCCGACGAAATAGGTAGTCAAAGGATTAAACGAAAATATAAAAATTTGCACCTCCGTAATAGTACTGGTCAACAGTTTTAATCCATCCTAGATCATCATGAGTATGAGGCACCAAATGAACATTGATCACTTCTTTTTCATTACTCCAGGCTTTGCATGCCTGAAAGTGTCGAAAACGGACTATTAGTTAAGTTAGCGATGACTTATTGAAGTAAAATACTTTTAAACGATTATTAATAAGCAATAAATATAACTCACAATAGATGATTAACCGCGATGAAGCTGTGATATTTGCCAAAACTCCTAACTGCTGGTGCCTACAATGGGGAACAAACACGCTATTACCTTTTCAGTGAGACGGTTTTCCACCATACCATGCGAGTCTTTTATTTCATTTGTTTCTTAGCTAATTTTATCTATAAATGCCATCAGCAGTCATCCTCCAACAGGATTGAACCAGGAGGCCCAACAGGCAGCAAGCCCAGTTAAGCTGAGGCTGCAGTCGAAATTACAGTGTTAACTTTTTATTTACCTACCTATTACAATTTTGTGATTGATCTAGGAAGGGTAATTGCTGATGGCGCTGATCGATAAAACTAGCTGAGAGACAGAAGAAACCAAAGACTCGCATGGTACGATGGTGAACGCGCTAGCCTCCCAAAAGGGAAATAGCGCGTTCACTCCCCACCGTAAACACCTGCAGTCCGGGCAGTAAATAAAAAGTTGGCATTGAGTAGATAAATACTTTCCCCAAAACAAGCGCTATAATGTATTGGCAGAGTTCTTTTCATCAGCAGTTTTACGCAGCGGTGAATAACTGCTTCAGAAGAATCCAATCATTTAATTGACAAAACGAGAAAAACCCACGTAAACCCAGTCTTTAGGAAACAGTAAGTGGTAACTAAAAGTGGAAAATTAAAACCTTTTTTGTATAGAAAATGTAGAGTATAAAAAATGTTGTGACAAGTGTTATCAATGAAAGAAATAAGATTTCCACAACTCAAGGATGAGAGAGCTATGAGAAGCATCGTCGTGTACGCCCCAAGATCAATCTCTCGTAAAGGCGAAGTAAAAGTGTTCTACATGGTTTTCCATGAGTTCTACTTGAAAGACCACACATCCTAGAAGGTTATCACAAAACAAAACTTTCAACACCAAAGCTAGCTTTGAAAGAACACCTGAAAATTTTGCCTGGGTTATCACAAATTTGAAGGTGATGCACAGACTAAACGTGACCACTGCAACTCGCAATTCCAGGCTGCTCTCAACTTTGGACATTGGAAGTTTTCCAAAGGAGAGTATCATAAGAAAAAAAGCCGCATTATAATAAGTGTAAGGCTTAAACGATGTATAGTTGGTTTCAAAATAAACACAAGATCTTATTATCACCCTACTACTGCAAGACTTTTTTTTGTAGAAGGGAAGAAGCTACAAAATACAGCAAACGAAATGCAAAAGCTTCATAAATTGATATCATTTCCCTTCTTCATCCCTTGAGAAGATGCCGTTAGCAAGAACCTTTATTGCAAAAACATGCAAGTCATTAATTGCCTTCACAATTGTTTTCAAGTAATGAAAGTTCGAAAAACGACAGGAGGAAATCGGTCTTCGAAAACACTCTTCATTAAAATTCAAAAATGAACCGCAAGGAGGAGTGTCTTGTCATCACGCGTGACCTAGCGCCATACCTCAGGCTGATCCAATGATCTGACATGGACCCAGTTATCGACCATGTATTACTCTGTGCGGCGGCTATCCACCAACTAACTTAAATACTTACGACAAATAAACGGTAGGTGTTTGAATGAAGCTATTTCTTATGCGAACACAAATCGATTTATCAAGTTTTATCTGCTAGGGTTATGAAAGTGTTTGGCTGAGTAGATCGCATCTCAATTTGACCTTTCCAGGCTCTGAAGAAGGCGAAACCGCCGAAACGTCAGCAATTGTGTTCTAATAAATTCTATATTAACAACCTCGTGTCTGCTTATTGATGAAAAACATTGAATTATCAATTAATGCCGAGGTTAACAGAAAGTCGGTCATGGGAATTACTCTTCATTAAGCCTAAACATTTGAAGAGGTAGCTCGAGTCTTCATGAACACACTCGCCCGACTTTTTGGACGTTACCTATCATAACGAAAAGTTCCAGATAGTGGAAAACCAGATCGATTATTTCATTTCCGTTATTCACTGAACCTTAGAATAGGTCACTTATTGACAACCCTACACAAGGTTGCTGCAAATCTCTATTATGGCCAATTCAGTCTTGTGCCCACAACAGTTGCTTCTCTCTGCAATGTGGGCCTTTATTGCCGTCGCTTCTATTGCAATCAAGTAAACTTGAGCATCGCAAGATTGAAGAAATTTTACCCAAAACTGGTCTTTTGCATTGCGTTGTAGCTACACTGAAGTGATCTGACCTCACCCTGCTCACCTCTAGGATGCATGACGGCCCTTGTTCGATTGCTAACCGAAACTAGTTGCTTCTTTGGCACAATCTGTCTTGAAGTAGCCAAATTTGCATTCAAAATAAAAGCAAACAAAAAACCACTGAGCCACAAGCGCCCGACTCACAACCACATAAAGTACAGTTTTGGTTGGT